TGCCTTGATTCCTTGCCCGGGACTCCAAGCAAATTGGTCGGGCCGCGCGTCATCTTCTAGTGGGCCAGACCCTCTGGTCCGGGCCGGCCCAATCCTAGCCGTAAGGGTATAGGGGTTAATACCCCCACAGTCCTGGAACTTAGGATTTGCATTTCTGGCATCGTAAACTCGCATTAGAGTTCCAATCAGGTCCTAACCCTGTCTGACGCCGCTGATCTGCTGACGTGGAGGCCAACGTGGACTGGGCGGGGGATTTGGCGCCTTTTTCCTCACGTGTCGCGCCCGTGAGTAGCCCAAGTGGTTGGGATTTATGCCAAGAAGCCCTGCTTTTCCCCTCCCTCTCACTTAAACTGCCTCCCAGCACTAGGCGGTAGGCGAGGGGGCCATTTGGGTGGAAGGAGCGACGGTGACGAGGAAGGCAACGCAGGACGCGATTCCAGCGGCGGTCGGCGGAGAGCATCGCTGGCTGCAGAAGACGAAAGGTCGGCGATCCGCCCGCCTCCCGATGGCTCCTCGCCGGCCCAAGGTCGGCGATCCCCCAGCCGAGTATTGTGAGTCCACTTCCTTCCTTCCTTTCATCAATTCAAGGTTTAGGTTTGCATCTATGAGTAGTCAATTAGGCTTGGAGGATTTCATGGAACGGAGGTGTGTGTGGGGGGGGGTTACGACCCCGGATACCCACGGCAGAACACATGGCCCTCACCATCAGAGGTGGCCTGGCCCACAAGATCAAGGCGTGCACGGCACTGATCGACGTGCACCGCAAGATATTGTATAGTACCAAATAGGATGATTTCCTTGTAACCCTACCCCTCCAGAGTATATAAGGAGAGGCGGGGGTCCCCTAGTCGCCAGCTACATACATCGACATACATATTCAATACAATACACCAAAGACACAGGACGTAGGTTATTACGTCGATCAGACGGGCCGAACCTGTCTAAATCGCTGTCTCTACGCCTTGTGTCACCATCCGGTTCCTGATCACGCGCACCTCCACCGATCAATCTACCTTCATGGGATACCCCTCGGAGGACTGCCGAGCATCTTTTGTCGACAGGAGGCATGGAGGTACATTGTTACTTAGTTAGGGTTCAGGGTTTTCTTTGAATTTCTGTGCGAATTTGGGTATTTTGGTTGATTTGATTGTTTCTGTAGGCAACGATGTACGCAATCAGTTCTCAGTAGAAATTCATCATGATGGATTTTTCTGTGGGATTGGATCAAACCGATGCTATGTGGATGGCAAGATAGACTGGTTTGACTATGTTGATGAGGATGTGTGGAGTACTTTCTGGATAGATGATTTCATCATTTAGCTTGGCTATGATTTGTGGCCTCGAAACACTTGACAGTGTACTGGTTGTTGCCTGGACAGGAGATTCATAAAGGACTTAGGGTAATAGAGACAGATGATGATACAATTGTGATGGCATCTGTGGTTGACAAGGTGAAGAACATTGTCCTTTACTTTGATCATGACAACCACATTGGGGGCCTGCCTCATGAAGACACAGTGATCAACCCTATAGCTGATTTGCCCAAGGTCTTCAGCCCTACCAAGGTGCAGCATATGGAGAGAGTGGATGAGGAGTTGCTAGAATTCTACAACAATTTAGAAGAGGCAAGAAGAACCTGTTGACACAGCTGCTGCAAGTGATGAAAGTGAGGAAGATTCAGATTCAGATTTCGTTGATACTGACAGTGAGGTAGATGATGGAGATGATGATCTGTTTGTGGACAATGTCGATGAGGAAGTATTAGAGGAGGACAACAGGAGGAACAAGAAGGCAGCAGGTAGCTGGCTTAGGAAAGCAGCAGCAGTAGCTTGGCACTCTGCTACAGCTGATGATGACAGTGAAAGTGAAGACCTAGAACTTCCTGAGGCTTCTGATGGAGAACAAAGTGGTGTTAGATTGAAGTTCAAGTCTTTTACCCCTGATGACCTGAATAATCCAACATTCAAGATTGGCATGAGCTTCCCTTCTATTGAGATGGTGAGGAAAGCAGTCACTAAATACAGCTTGAGACATAGGGTGGATGTGAAGATGCCTAGGAATGACAAGACTAGGATAAGTGCCCATTGTGCAGAGGGCTATCCATGGCAGTTGTACGCTTCAAAAGATGCCAGAGCAAAGACCATTCTTGTCAAGAGGTATGTTGGGTAGCACAATTGTAGGAGGGAGTGGGTTCTGAGGAGATGCACTGCAAAATGGCTGGCTAACAAGTACATTGACACCTTCAAGACTAATTCAAAGATGACATTAGCAAACTTTGGCAGACTTGTGCAGAAAGATTGGAACGTCACACCATCAAGGAGTAAGCTATGCAGAGCTAGAAGCATGGCGGTACAACAGATCTATGGTGATGAAGTTGAGCAATACAACCAGCTATGGGACTTTGGCCAAGAGATTAGAAGGTCTAACCCAAGAAGCACCTTCTACCGTAACATAGCTGATGGACACTTTAGCCACCTATACTTTGCTTTAGATGCTTGCAAGAGAGGATTTCTTAGTGGTGCAGGCCAGTCATCTGCCTGGATGGCTGCCATATCAAGACCAAATTTGGAGGCTAGCTGCTGACTGCTGTAGGCACGGACGGAGCACAGTGGGGGCCAAACTGGGCTCCGGCCCCCCCTTGTCCAAAACAAAATTCTCAAATATAGTTTGTGGTCACTTGCATTTTGTGAAATGTGGTCCAACTATAAATATATATAACTAGTTAGTTTTAGTCCATAACTTGGTTAAGAGTAGTCTGACAGTCTCTGTAGTCACTTGATATGTGATTAGTTAAATTTATCATAGTATATATGGTTTTATTTCTGATGTCAACATATTTCACTTGTGTTTTTATCAAGTTGGCCCCCCCTTGATTTTGTGCCGTGCTCCGTCCTGTAGGAGTTGATCCTAATGACTGCATATTTCCAATAGCCATGGCAGTTGTGGAAGTTGAGTCCAAGAGCACCTGGAAGATGTTTCTGCAAACACTGAAACAATAACTGAACATCGACAACACATATCCATGGACCATCATCACTGACAAACAAAAGGTACATCTTCTAGTAGTTACTTTTAGTTCATTATATTGTGCTTTGTGCAGCCAGCTTTGTAATGATGCTTTGTAATCTCCTTTTAGGGTCTCATACCAGTTATTAAGGATGTATTTCCTGAGGCAGAGCATAGGTTTTGTGTTAGACACCTGTACCAGAATTTTCAAGGCAGTTTCAAAGGAGAAAACTTGAAGAACCAGCTCTGAAAATGTGCTAGGTCTAGTTCTGTTAGGGAGTTCAGCAGGAACATGGAAGATATGAAGAAATTAGATCCCGCTGCACATGCTTGGTTGGAAGAGATGGCACCAAATACCTGGGTGAAAGCTTATTTCAGTACCTTCCCCAAGTGTGACTTGTTACTAAACAATACATGTGAAGTTTTCAATAAGTACATTTTGGAAGCCAGGGAACTTCCTATTCTGAGTATGATTCAGAGAATTATGGGACAGCTGATGACTAGATTCTATAACAAGCAAAAGGAGCTTAGTGAGAAGTGGCCAGGACCAGTGTGCCCCAAGATCAGAAAGAAATTGTTGAAGAACTAGAGTTTGCTAACATGTGCTTTGTGCAGCAAGCTGGTGTATGTATTTTCCAAGTGCAATCAAGGGGATTTGACTATATTGTTGACATTGGCAACAAGACTTGTGACGGTAGAAGATGGGACTTAACTGGCATCCCATGCAATCATGCCATAGCTTGTCTTAGACATGAGAGAATTCCAGCTGAAGATATGCTTCCTTCTTGTTACTCTACAGAAACCTATAGCAATGTTTATGCCTTCAACATAATGCCCTCTAGAGATAAAACTATGTGGGAGAAGATGAATGGACCTCCAGTGCAGCCACCTGTATATGAAAAGAAGGTTGGAAGGCCAGCAAAATCCAGGAGGAAGCAACCTACTGAAGTGCAAGGAAGGGCTGGGCCAAAGCTGTCAAAGCATGGGGTAATTATTACTTGTAGTTGGTGCAAAGGTGAGAACCACAAGTGCTGGTTGTGCCATTAAGAAGTTAGGGATTAGGCCATTTGTCCACAGGAACACATCACCAACACAATGAAGAGACTCCTATCCAATCTAATGAAGAGGCAACTATCTCCCAGGTAATGAAACACATGTTGCCACCAAAAACAATTATTGTTGTTGTGACACTATAATTACATTCACATGACAATAGGAATTTGGACAACCACATACAATGGAAGATTTAAACACTGAGAACCTGATGTTGTCACGGATGCTATCACAGGTAACATTTATCCTTGGTTGAAGCATTACAAGTACCTGTTTTGACAGGCATCAAGCACTGATATTCTAATGTTTCTACAGGCATCAAGCACTGTGGATGCAGGAAGGCATCATGGACCACTGCTAGACAGTGCATTCATTGAAGATAACCAACCTTTGCCAGGCTAGCACCACTTACTACAGCAACAAAGCAGGGCAAGGCAGCAGGAAAGGCACTAGGAAAGAGCAAGGCAACAGCAACAAAGAAGTTAGCGGGCAAGAGGAAGGCAACCTGAAGTGATGAAGTAGTGCTTCTCTTTTGTGAATGAATCTGTTGACCCCCTTTTGTGAAGTATAGGCCTAACATCTTTTGTGAATGAAAGATAAGGTTCTTTTGTCATGTAATTTGCATCAAAATAATGTGGATGCATTATAGTTAGGCAATGGTGGTCCAAGCTCTGTAATTTGCATCAAAACCACTAGTGGATGCATTTAAGCAGTGCTGTGCTAGCACCCAGAACCTTGTGTGGATGCTTCCTGTGTAATATAGTCACCTGAATGTGGTGCTTGCCTACAACTAAATCTTCACATGTTACCACATTGCAACACATTGCTTGCTTGGTTTCACTAACACTAACAATTGACTGAAACATGACATGGCAAGACATTGCACTAAAGTTCATTCCAGATTCTCATTCTAGACATTGCACAAGTTGTATCATTCATGTTCACTTCATGATTACATCAACCAGGATACAAATCATGACAACAAGACCAACAACACCCACTGCTACCAATGCTTTAAGTAAAATACAAATCTCTTGATCATATCTCTTGTTCACTGCATTCCCTAGAAGTCCAGTTTCTTCATCTTCAACAACTACTGTGTGCATGGTCTCCTGCTGCGTTCCACCTCCAATTGGTCCACCAACCACAGTGGCACTTCCTTCTCCAATCTCAGATTTGTAGCCATGATTGTCCTTCAAATACTGCTCGTAGTCGTCCTCCCACAGATAGAACCCACAACCTTTTTTTCTTTACCTCTACTTTTCTGAGAAAATGAAAGCGGAAACAATCAAACCATAGACTGAATTGAACTGCAAATCATCAAATCGAAACCCTAACCTGTTGATTCGGGCAAGTGAAGAACACCTTGTCAGGGTTTGTGCTTGTATGAGACGTCAGCTCCATCACCTTCCTCCATCCGCAGTCCGGGCAAAAGATCAGTGGTAGGTCCGGTCGCTTGTGCTGGCGCCCTGATGAACTCGCCATGCTTGAAGCCATGGTCGCCGTTGCAGTCCGCCTTGTGCGAGAGAGATGAGAGACACGATTGAGAAAGGGGAATGGGATGCGGCTAAAATGAGGCGAGGAGAAAAAGGCAGGGGGTTCTTGGCATAAATACCAACCACCTCTGTTCCTCCCGCGCGAGTCAACAGAGGAAAATGGCACCAAAACTCCCGCCCAGTCCACGTTGGCCTCCACATCAGCAAATCAGTAGCGTCAGACAGGGTTTGGACCTGATTCGAACTATAATGCAAGTTTACGGTGCCAGAAATGCAAATCCTAAGTTCCAGGAACCATCTGAGAACCACAGACAAGTTTAGGGACTGCCACTGAAATTTACTCTTTTAAAATTATCGAATGACCTCGGATGTTGACATGGAATATACAAAAGTTGTGGTTATCAAGATGATCTAACTTTGTAGTTAATAAAATTTTATTTAGTGGTTCAAAAGCACTAATTGTAATGGTTGATCGGAGGGTGTCTGGATTGTAAGGAAAATGGACCTTAGACCCATTTACTTTGGATTTTGGTGTTTAATGACCAAAACAACTAAATTATACTAATGAATTTGCAAGTAATTATTTTGTAGTTCAATATGACGCAAGACGTGACTTAGAAGGTGACATGATGATCCAACGATCAACACCATAAGCAAGACCCTAAAAGCACAAGAGAAAACCTAAGATATCAAGTAAAGTTCAAGCACGAAGATGGAAACCAAGACGGAGACAAGATCATGAAGAAACGAGCTTGACAGAGGTGACCGGACGCGGCCCTATGAGGACCAGACGCGTCCAATTAGTTGCTCGGCAACAACAGGCGTCAGCAGTAGTGACCGGACTCTGAGCGAGGCAGTGACCGAACACACGGACTTCACTGTTCATCGTTGTGGCAACAACTCAGTGAAGACCGGACGCAGCAGCTATGGACGACCGGACGCGCCAGGCAGTGGTGTCCGATCGAGTCCAGAGAGGTTCCAAAACGGCGAAACATCGATCGGACGCGTCAGATGGTAAGTGACCGGACGCGCCAGAGAGTCCGATCAACAGTGAGCGCTAATGGTCAGCTTTAACGATCAAGACGACCGGACGTGTCCGATCAGGACGACCTGCACATCCAGTTAATGGCAGAAAGCTGAGTTTCGTCCCCAATGGCTACTTTCTCCATGGGACTTATAAATAGACCCTCTAACCGGCTATTTGAGGAGTGGAGAGCTGAGAAAACATACCAATGGTGTTGATACATCACTTTAGTGATCTCCGCTTGCATAGTGCTTAGCGATACATTCGGTGATTAGCGTAGATGCTTTGCGAAGTGCTTATGTTAGTTAGACCATCGCTTATGCGCTTGCTCTAAGTTTATGCCTAGTGTTTAGTGAGGTTTACACACCTCTTACCACTCGGTGCTTGCGCGCACCATTGTTGTACATCGGAGAGGATTGTAATCTTGCAAGATCACACCAACCGCTTTTGTGGTATGGCCGTCACCGTGTACCGAAGGGAACAAAGCCCACAGCGGTTCAGCCGGAAGCTTGATAGTGAAGACGGCGGCGAGCGGTCCGGGAGAAGCTTCTCGAAAGGCACACCGGAGGCCCACTTACGCGTGGGGAAGGCCCGGGGCTATCCACGGAGTTACCCGACCGGGAGCTTGACCCTTGTGAAGGATTCCTTGCGAGGGGCTCCAACGAGGACTAGGAGGAGGCTTGCACACTTTTTGATACCTCGGTAAAAATATCGGAGTCATCGACGGGAGTTTGCATATCTTTACCTTACTCTTTAGCTTCCGCATTTACATTGCACTCTTGGTTTGTGCTTTACTTTCCTAGCTTAGTGATAGGCTAGTTGATAGGTTTGGAATCTAGGTTGCATAACTCCTTTTTGCGGTAGAGATAGCAACAAACTAGCAAAACTATAGTTGCACATTTAGATAGTTTACTTTCCTGCATAGGTTTTTGACTAGATAAAATTAGAGGCCTTAGTGAGAAGTAGAATTTTAAGTTGCCTAATTCAACCCCTCCTTTTAGGCGTCAAGTCCCTTACAACTGGTATCAGAGCCGGTTGGCTCAATTTGGACCTTTAGCTTCACCGCCGTTGAGCCGACGCTATTTAGAGTGGTTGGGATAGATACCTCTAGTCCTCCGCACTTTGATGGCACTAACTTCCCCTACTATAAAGCTAGAATGGCTTGCCACCTTGAGACGGTAGATTTGGGTGTTTGGAGAGTCACTCGTGATGGGATGAAACCCATTAAGAATCCCGATAAACCTACAAAGAGTGAAGAAAAACAAATTCATTTCAAAGCTAGAGCTAAAAATTGCTTGTTTGAATCTTTTAGCATGGATGTGTTTAATCAAGTGTTCACTTTAAATACGGCATATGAAATTTGGTTAAAACTCCAAGAGCTCCATGTTGGCACAACTAATGTCCGTGAGCAAAAATATTATCTAGCTAAACAAAATTATAATTTCATTAAAATGAATGGTGATGAGCTTTTTCGTGATTTGTATTCTTGTTTGAATCTAATTATCAATGAGCTCCATTCAATAGGATTAACGAAGCTAGATGATGCGGACATCGTGAGGAAGATCATCTCCGTTCTACCACAAAAGAAATATGCAAGCATCATCACCATCCTTCACAACATGGAGGACTTGAGCACTATGACCCCGACCATAGTCATTGGCAAGATAGTGGCATTTGAAATGTCACGGATGATGGGTCAAGAAGAAGTCTCATCATCAAGCAAAGGCAAAGCTCTCGTATGTAGTGAGAAAAAGAAGATGAAGGGCAAGCAAGTTGAGATAAGCTCAAGCTCAAGCTCCTTAAGTAAAGATGAAGAAGAAGATGACGATGATGATGATGATGACGAAGATTCAAGTGATGATGATCAATCTTCCTCCTCCACCTCTGACCCTGATGAAGAATCAATCAAACTTATCAACAAGATGGAGAAGATGACCCAAAGGCTCAATGTCAAGGGTGTGCCCATCCAAATTTAAGATTTCATCTTCACCAATCAAAGAAATGAGCAAAGAAAGAAAGGATGCTATGGATACGGTGAGTTGGGACACTTTGTGGAAGTTTGTCCAAACAAGCCCACACCCAAGACAAAGAAGAAGACGTGCAAGGACAAAGCCCTCACATCAATAAGGTCATGGGATGATTCTTTAAGTGAAGAAGAAGATCATCACAAGAGGTGAAGCCACAAGCACTCATCATCAAGCTCTTCTTGTGTGTGCCTTATGGCATGAGGTAACGAAAGCTCAACCTCTAGTGAGAGTGATAGTGATGATGAAATGTCTTCTCTTAATGAACTTGTGCAAGAAAATTTTAAATATGCTAAGGCTTGCACTAGCCAACAAAAGAAGCTAAAAAATTGTAAGAAAAGCTAGATAGTTCACAAGAAGCATATAAAACCTTGCTTGAAAAATATGAGACATTTGCTAATCTCAATATTGAACTATCTATTAAAATTGAGCAACTTGAGGCTAGTGCAACAACAAATGCATGCACAATCAATGATGAGCAACTTATAAAGAAAAATTAAAAATTAAAAAGAAAAGTTAGTTAGCTCACAAGATGCTTAAAAAAGTTTGCTTGCTAAAATGGAAACCATGTGCAAACATTGTGACGAGCTAACTAATAAAGTTGCTAATCTTGAACCTATCGGTACAACCCTCACTAAGGCACCTAAAAAGAAAAGTTCTATCTTTAACATGCCTAAAAAGGATGCTGATACTTCTTGCAATGATTTATGTTTAGACTCACCCTTATGCAACCAAGTTTGTGTTGAGAAAGTTGTTGTAGATACATGCACATAAGAGGTCGCAATGGAGAATAAGCAACTCAAGCAAGATGTGGCTCGCCTTACCAAGGACTTGACTCAAGTAAAAGATAAAATGGAGCAAGCCCAACATCATCAAGATAACACCGTTAAGGGAGTGAAGAAGCTTGATGAAGGACAAATCGTGGTTTGCTACGTGTGCCACAAGAAAGGCCACAAGTCCTATGAGTGTAAGGTGAAGAATGGGGGAGGAGCTAAGAAGAAAGAGAAAAACAAAAAGAAACAAGCAAGCTCTCCAACACCTACACCAACAAGGTGGACAAAAAGGCCTCCACACCTTATCTCTTGAAGAAGAAGAAAAATGACAAGGTGGTAGCCATCAAGGTGAACAAGCAAGCCAACAATGGGGCCAAACGCATTTGGGTGCCAAAGGAGATCATTTTCAACATGAAGAGCACCAAGAAGGTTTGGATTCCGAAAGGAAAGTGAGAAGTCCGATGGACTTCGGGGAATTTGGAGACTTGGCAAAGTATGGGTGCATTTTATGGGGTGCATCATTATGGACAAGGTAATTGCCAAGTGGGTTAGTGAATACTACGGACCCAAATTCTCCTTCCCATGTTATGTAACTAGATTTAATTTCTTGCAATTTCAATTAGTATCTAGTTCCTTTTCATGCCTAGGTTTGCATTTGCATGTTTAATCTTTTGTCTTGCATACACTAGGTATATCTTATGGTAGGCATGCTCGGTTTCACTCTTAACCCTTGGAGCAAACCTATATGGTTTAAATTGTTTAGGAGCACGACACATAGCTTGTTTTACAATTGTTCATCTAATATGTGCCAAAATCTAAATTGTAGATAATTTATCCCGAATATCACCTTCCAAAATGATTGTCATATTCATGTGATGTCATCTTTCAAGTGGTATTTTTTATTCTAAAATCAATGTGCATGTCTTCTACAAGTATTCCATACTTGTGTACACAAATTTAGGGGGAGGTTACTCTACAAGTTGGATGCTTTGAGACTAAGACCTTTTCAAGCTTATCATGTGTGTAGTAGCCGCATTGCAAGAAAAATGGAGTCTCCGGAGTTAAGCATCATACTCCAAATATCCACCACCTATTGTAAGTGGTATAAATCAAATTGTTTTGCACATGTGGTATTTCTAAACCGGTATCATCATGCTGATTTCACTTTGGTATTTATATG